TACCCGCAGACGGATGGTCAGAGTGAGCGGACCATCCAGACTTTGGAGGATATGCTGCGGGCCTGTGTTCCAGACTTTGGTGGTAGTTAGGATACCTACCTTCCATTAGCTGAGTTCTCCTACAACAACAGCTATCACGCGAGTATCGATCGTCCTCCCTTCGAGATGTTGTACGGGAGGAAGTGCAGGACCCCGATATGTTGGGGCGAAGTCGGACAGAGGGTCATGGGGAGCACCGAAGTGGTGCTCAAGATGATAGAGAGAATTTAGCAGGTTAGGAGTAAGCTTCAGACTGCCCAGAGTCGGCAGAAAAGTTACGCCGACAAGCGCCGATCAGACCTGGAGTTCCAGGTCGGGGATGTGGTCCTCCTGAAGGTGTCACCTTGGAAAGGCGTCATCCGATTCAGGAAGTGGGGCAAGTTGGGCCCCAGATACATTGGACCTTTCCAGGGTATAGCCCGGGTGGGCAAGGTGGCTTATAGGCTGGACCTGCCATCGGAACTCAGTCAGATTCATAGCACGTTTCACGTCTCCCAGTTACGGAAGTGCCTGGTGGACGACTCGGCACTAGTTCCCTTGGAGGATATTCAGGTGGATGACAGCCTGAATTACATCGAGCGGCCAGTGACGATCCTCGACAGGATGTCGAAGGACCTAAGGAACAAGAGCGTGGAGCTGGTGAAGGTGCAATGGCAGCACCGCAAGGGGTCAGAATGGACTTGGGAGCCGGAAGAAGAGATGAGGGAGCACTACCCCGAGCTTTTTCCAGATTCAGCAGCAGACTTCGAGGACGAAGTCTAAAATAAGTGGGGGAGATTTGTAGCACCCGATTCCTGGTACGTATTTAAATTCAATAAATATTGCAATTTACTCTAAGACTCGGCGAGTTGGAGGCCCAACTCGTCGAGTAGACTCGACTGTTGGATCGGGGGTTTAAGTGACCTACTCGACGAAGTCGGAAGACCGACTCGATGAGTAGGAGCTGTCTGGACAAAACCCTAATATTTAGGGTTTGAACCCTATTGAAACACTTTATCTCGTCCCAAACCAGCCTCCATCACCCTCCCAACTCAGAGAAACCCTAGATTGAAACCCTAAACCCTTTTTGAGTGATTGTTGAGCTTGTTGTGCCATTTTGTGCAAGATAGAAGGTTGAAGAGAAGAAGAAGGAGCTTGGGATTTTAGAAAGGAGTAAGGAGATCTAGAGATTTTGCTTCATTTCCTGTTTATAGAAAGGTAAAAAGTCTAGACCTTGTTTCTTCTTTCATTATATACTCTTTTGGAGTAACTTAGGGCTTTTGGAAGCCATTTTGGAGCCATACTAGGATGCAACCTCGATTTTGGGATTAAGACTTCAGATCTGGAGCCATTGAGGGTTCCCATGGCATAAAGGTGCCAACTTTATGGCCATGGGAGACCCATGCATCATATAAACCCCTTTTTTATGGCTTTTTGAGCCAAAGGCCCCATGCATGTGCATCAAGTTTGGAGCTTTACATATAAAATGAACCCTAGGAGGCCAGATCTATGGTTTTGACGCGTTAAGACCCATTATAATCGATTGTATAGTGTTGGACAAAGAGGGACTCGGCGAGTCACTTGGGTGAGTCGGTGAGTCGGGACGCTTTTTCCCAAAAGTGTCTCCTGGAAATGTTTTTTTTTGGTTGAGTGGAAGGAACACTCAGCCTGATAGGCGTTTATTTTGGACCTGGAAATCATGGGACTCGACGAGTGTAAGAACAGACTCGGCGAGTCCAAAGCAATCTCCCAACTTATGAAGACGGACTCGGCGAGTTCAAGAGGAACTCGTCGAGTCACAGACTGAACATCTTCTTATGGATGAAGATGAACTCGGCGAGTTCAAGAACGAACTCGACGAGTCGGTTGAAGATTGTCTGAGGTGTTGTTGAAGGCGAACTCGTCGAGCTCTTGCTAGACTCGACGAGTAAGGACGAGATTATGGCATTGTGTGGTCATGCCAACTCGGCGAGTCGGCGGGCCAACTCGGCGAGTCGAATCAACTAGATGTTGACTTTGACCCAAAAGTTGACTTGGACCATGGGTATGACTTTGACATTGACTAGGGTTGTGTGACCCTTGTAAGGGTTACGAGTATAAGAATGAGTTGATAACTTGGAAGAGTTGTCGTGTAGGGATAGAGGAGTCGAGGAGAGTTGATTTCCACATCGAGATCAGTGCAGACACTACGTGACATTGAGGTGAGTTACCTTCCAGTAGGGGTGGGTCTACGACCACAATGCCGGCCCACCAGTAGGAGTTGTTAGATGATTGTCTTTGTGATAATTGTCAATGTTTGCTACTACCTGTTATGTTTATGTGCTAGTATGGTATAATTTTATGTGATAGTGATAGTAGGGAGTGAAATAGTCCCCGGTTACCGGTCGATAGGACCGAAGGGGTAGATTAGTACCCAGCTATGCTAGACAGATTATGATATGATATTATGTGGTAGTAGTAGGGGTGAAATAGTCCCCGTCACCGGTTGAGATAAACCGGAGGGTAGGTCGGACACCCCGGTATGTCTTACAGGGGTAGGTTAGGCACCCCGGTATGCCTAGAAGGGGTAGGTTGAGCACCCCGGTATGCTCAGCAGGGTAGGTCGGGCACCCAGATATGTCTGGCATGGGGTAGGTCGGGCACCTTGGTATGCCTGACAGTATGTGCTACGTATGATATGTGGTTGATGGGGGAACTCACTAAGCTTTGTGCTTACGGTTTACAGTTTTGGTTTCAGGTACCTCTTCAGCGAAGGGGAAGGAGTCGGCGCGGTAGCGGCACATCACACACATACTGGATTCCGAATTATGAGATTTATTGGGATTGTACTCTGATTTTTATTACTATAGATTATATGGTTTCGAGACACGTTGTTACAATTTTATAGATTGATTTGACGTTGGTGATGTTTTTGGTAAACTATTTTATGAGTTACTTAATTAAAAATGAAATTTTTGGCCTTGAAAATTGGGATGTTACATGGAAACTCAAACGTATGGGATTTGGTATTCGGAATAGGTATGATAAACCTATATGGAATAGGTATGATGAACCTATATGGAGTAGGTATGATAAACCTGTATGGAATATGTATGATAAACCTATCTGGAATAGGTATGATAAACCTATATGGAGTAGGTATGATAAACCAGTATGGAATAGGTATGATAAACCTATCTGGAATAGGTATGATAAACCTATCTGTAATAGGTATGATAAACCTATATGGAGTAGGTATGATAAACCTGTATGGAATAGGTATCATAAACCTATATGGAATAGGTATGATAAACCTATCTGGAATAGGTATGATAAACCTATATGGAGTAGGTATGATAAACCTGTATGGAATAGGTATGATAAACCTATCTGGAATAGGTATGATAAACCTATCTGGAATAGGTATGATAAACCTATATGGAGTAGGTATGATAAACCTGTATGGAATATGTATAATAAACCTATATGGAATAGGTATAATGAACCTATATAATCCATTTAGGAAAACGATAACTGAAATTCTTATAACTTCAAGAATTTATCATACTAGATACGGTTTCGATTTTGTATTAGCATAATAGCTAAATTTTGAATTTATCCAAGTTTGGATCGACCGTAGATCTACATTCCCCATATTTTATATAAATTATGCGAGGATGTTTTTAATACATTTAATTTGGGATAAAGGTAAAGTCTTTAAATACAATACTAGACAAATATTTATTTCGTAAATAACGACTCTTAAGCTCTGAAGTCGATCATGTTATTTATTGTGATAAGAATAAATAACTTAGTAGAATGAAGTTATGTTGTTGTAATTAATATAAAAATATATTAATAACTTCTCAATTCATTTTTACATAACCTTATATAGATATATATATATATATATATATATATATATATATATATATATATATATATTAATTAATATATATTATATTAAATAATATATATAATATATATATAATATATATATTAAAAGTTAAATCTTATAATTTTAACTAATAATTATATAATCTCATGAATTTAATCTTCCATCAATTATGGCAATATACTTTCATTTTATACACAGATAATAATTTTGGTCATTATTATATTGTTTCATGCTTCCATGAGATACTTTATCTTATACATGTAAAGTCATCATTTTTGTGACTCATAATATCCACTTGTGTAATTATAGCAACATACTTATAATCTTGTGATTTTTCTTAATAATTATATTTATATCTCACATAAAGTATAATTATATCAACTTATAATAATCTACTTTAGCTTAATAGATTTGCTAGTGATTTATCACATCTTTAGATTGTTATTTCATAAACGTTTGACCAATAATAAAGTAAGATGTTATTTTGTATATAAAACTTAAAAATCATCAACATTTTATAGACACACATATATTCTCCCCCAAATATTAAAACCGTTAAAGAGGGGCCGTAGAAACTCACATTCGATGCGTGATCTCGATCCCGATTCATTTTGGTGAAGCTTTTCGTGAAAAACCGCAAAGTAACCATTCTTGGACTTTAAAACATTTCTGGGTTCGTTTTGTAACCAATTAAAATAAAGGAATTGTTGTGTTCCAATATTATAAACAATAGGGACTGATTTAAATAAAGCCAGGTATTGGAGGGCTGATTTGGTAATCATACACCAACAATAGGGCTGTTGATCAAACAATTACCACCAGGGATGGGTTTTGCTCTCTTAATATAAGGAGAGGGACTAATTCTGCCAGGTTCATAAAATATACATAGGGAAGCGTCTTCTTCTCCATCACAGATCGGGTATAGGAACGGTCAAACGAAATAGCAGGGGAAAAACGGGGCCAATCTCCGGCAGGCCCTCGTGGATGCGCGTCTCGTCGCCAGCAGTCAATCGGAAGGGAGACCTAGCAGTCGCAGACGACCTAGGAAACACCTTCGGTTCTCGGTTTTCGGAGAAGAATAGAAGGAACAAACGGAGCAACCACGATGAGGAATTCTGATGTTGGCCATTCAGATCGCAAGGAGGGACGGAGAGGAGCACCTCCGGTGCTTGACTGGATCGACGATGGTGAACGGAAGCAGCAGCATTTGCCGATCCCTTGTAGAGTACCACCTGATTGTCTTGTTTGGATAAAGAAGAAGGAAAATGAAAGCAGATGGGTGGATCTGTGATGGTTGTGGGATCTTGAGGAGGGGAGAGGGGCAGCCGAATTTCGGTGAGCTCCTCTTGGATTCATCTATCGTCTTCAGCAGTGGAACACGAAGAAGGGAGCAGGGGAGAGACGAAGGTGGTGACAGGGGGCTCCGGTCATTTTGCTCGATAATCACAGGTTTCTTTCTTCTCTCTTCTTTGTTTGATTGAAATCAATGGGGTTCTGGTGTGTGATTTGTTTAAGCATGTGTTTGGGATTTATTCTTGTCTGAGCTGATGAACTCATAAGGGATGTTTGGGTGTGGTTCTCGGCAGTGAAGACAGAGAGGAGTTGTGAGGGTGGTGATTGGTGATTGGTGGTCTCCAGGCTCCACCGGTGGTCATAGCAACAGCCACATAGGTGATGATTGGTTATCGGAACAGGAGGAGCACAATCGGGGTTGTGAAGTCGATTGGAAGGAAGAAGAGAAAAAAGAGTGTTGCTGGTCTTTTGGTTTCACTGGAACAACTCCTCCGATGGAGGACTTTGACAAACAATTAAAGAAGAAAGAGGAAGAGAGATGGATCGAAAGTTTAAGTGTGTGGAATGAATTACGATTGCCAGCTACGTTCTTGATTATCTCCCACAGATTTTAGATTTTGGGAAGACTTTGGTCGATTTCTTTGTACTTCCAAATCTATTAGTATCTTATGTGATTGTTTGTGTGAGTGTGAATCTTGTATAGCTTCCTTTGTGCGAGTATGTATATTGTATAGCTTCCGATTGAAGTATTTAGATAAATTATTGAAATAGTCAATGGCTGAGTTGGCTAGATATTTCTTTTTAGAATAAAACATGTGCAATTTATTTGATAACGTAATTCCGTTTCTTGATTCTCGTTTCATTGATACCGACTCATGAAATTTTTATGAAATTTCCTGTTAATTGTCCTAGTTGTGGTGATTTCAAAAATGTAGACGAAGTTCAATTCCGATCTACCAAACTCCGTGAACTTATGTTTAAAGTTTCGCGATTAATAGGATCCGATTCGACAGATGGTTTAAGAAGTTTGGGATATATTTTTAAAGTAAATTATAAATATAATATATTTAATATACCTTATTAACATAAAATTAGACACAATTGGTCATTAATACATAACAGTTCGCGGTGGTTTGACCGCCGAACTCTGACAAATTTTTACCAATTTGTTACAGCCTCCTTCGTCGCCTCGCTTGCTGCTATGTACTCTAATTCGCATGTTGAATCAGCTGTTGTCTCCTGCTTGGAACTTTTCCAAGTTATTGCTCCTCCATTCAGGGTAAATAACCAGCCCGACTGAGAGCGGAAATTATCTCTGTCAGTCTGAAAGCTGGCGCCAGTATACCCCACCACTCTCATGTCATCACTCCCACCGAGGGTAAGGACCCAGTCCTTAGTCCTCCGCAGGTACTTGAGAATGTTCTTTACCGCAGTCCAGTGAGCCTTGCTAGGATTCCCTTGATATCTACTGACCATGCTCAAAGCAAAGGCCACATCAGGGCGAGTACAAGTCATAGCATACATGATCGATCCAACCACGAAAGCATATGGTATTGGAGTCATCTCAGCTATCTCAGCCTCGGTACCCGGACTCTGATTTTTACTCAGTTTGGCATTGCTCTCGATCGGTAAGTCACCTTTCTTGGAATCCATCATGCTGAATCTTTTCAACACCTTTTCCAAGTAGGTACTTTAATTAAGTCCAATTAGTCTTTTACTCCTATCTCTCAATATCCCTATACCAAGAATATAGGCAGCTTCTCCGAGGTCCTTCATAGCGAAACACTTCCCAAGCCAGGACTTCACCTCCTGCAAGGTTGGGATGTCATTTCCTATGAGTAGTATGTCATCCACATACAATATCAGAATGCTAACTATGCTCCCATTAGCCTTGACATATACACAGGACTCATCCTCGCTTCTCGAAAATCCAAACTCTTTGACTTTCTCATCGAAACAAAGATTCCATCTGCGAGATGCTTGTTTCAATTCGTAAATGGATTTCTCAAGCTTACACACTCTATTAGGGTACTTTGCATCGACAAAACCCTCTGGTTGACTCATGTAAGCATCCTAAACCAACTTTCCATTAAGGAAAGCGGTTTTGACATCCAATTGACATATTTCATAATCATGAAATGCAGCTATGGCTACCATAACTTTAATAGACTTAATCTTCGCTACTAGTGAGAATGTCTCATTATAGTCAACTCCCGGAGTTTGAGTAAATCCCTTCGCAACTAGTCACGCCTTATAAGTGTGTACTTTTCCATCCATGTCAGTCTTCTTCTTGAAGATCCATTTGCACCCGACTGTCTTACGACCCGGTACATTGTCAACCAAGTTCCAAACTTGATTGTCATACATGGACTAAATCTCGCTGTCCATCGCCTCTTTCCATTTAGCAGACTCGGGGCCTGCCATGGCTTCCTTGTAATTGTTAGGTTCATCCAAATTTACTAGTGTGCTATCACTGATAAATGTATCACCCTCATATGTTATATGGAAACCATATAACACAGGTGGAACACTAACTCTACTGGAACGCCTCAGAGGTACAAATTCGTCAATTGGCTCAACAGGAGTTTCCTCCTCAGGTTGATTGCTAGGTTTTGAGGTTCCTTCACCGCTTGACTCTTGAAGCTCTTCAAGGTCAATTTTCCTCCGACTGTCTCCTTCGCCTATGAGCTCTATCTCGCGAAAGACTCCTCTCCTCGCAATGAAGACAACATTGTCAGTCGGTCCGTAGAAGAGATAACCAAAGGATTTCTGTGGGTAGCCGATGAAAATACACCGCTCACTTTGAGGTTTGAGCTTGTCGTGAGTCTCGCGTCTCACGAAAGCTTCGCAACCCCAAACCTTGATATGTGCTAACGAGGGAACCTTCCCTATCCACATCTCGTGAGGTGTTTTGGCAACCTTCTTAGTTGGGAATAGATTAAGGATATGGGAGGTAGTCTCTAAGGAATACACCCAGAATGAGATAGGTAACGAAGCTCGACTCATCATGGAACGAACCATGTCCAACAAGGTTCGATTGCGCCTCTCAGCCACACCATTAAGCTGTGGTGTCCTAGGTGGCGTCAATTGTGAAACAATCGCACATTCCTTAAGATAGTCTAGGAACTCGATTCTAAGATACTCACCACCCTCATCGGATCGAAGCATCTTTATCTTCCTGCTCAACTGATTCTCCACTTCTTGCTTAAACTCTTTCAATTTCTCAAAGGTTTCTGACTTATGCTTGATTAAGTAGACATATCCATATCTACAGTAATCATCAGTAAAAGTCACATAGAAGTGGTTAGCATCCCTTGTGGCGGTTCTGAAGGGCCCACACACATCGGTGTGTATAAGATCCAACAAACCTTCACCCCTTTCACAAGTACCAATGAAGGGTGACTTGGTCATCTTTCCAAGTAATCAAGATTCGCAAGTGTCATCCGTCCTTAAGTCGAATGAATCCAAAACTCCAGCCTTTTAGAGTTGGCCTATGCATGTCTTGATGACATGTCCAAGAGGACAATGCCACAAGCATGCCTTATCCAATTCATTGGAAGAATCAATGTGCAATACATTATTTCCTAAGTTGTCTACAACCATCACAGTTTCATATATATCATTACAAGGTAATGCTTTAAAATAAAAAAACACCATTATAAAAAGCATTAATAGCACCAATGTCATTATCAAATGAAAAACAAAAACCTTGTTTGTACAAACCATGAAAGGAAATAACATTTCTCGCCATTTCAGACGAGTAGCAACAATTATTCAAATCTATTTCTAACCCACTACTCAGCAATAAAGAATAAAACCTTTTTTGTACAAACCATGAAAGGAAATAACATTATAAAAAGGACCAATTTCATTATCAAATGAAAAACTAAAACCTTGTTTGTAAAAACCATAAAAGGAAATAACATTTCTCGCCATTTCAGACGAGTAGCAACAATTATTCAAATCTATTTCTAACCCACTACCATGAAAAGAAATAACATTTATCGCCATTTCAGACGAGTAGCAACAAGTATTTAAATCTATTTCTGACCCACTACTCAACAATAAATAATAAACTCCAATCTTGGTGACAGGTGAAACCTTCCTATTCCCTATGATCAAGTTTATCTTCCCGTGATTAACATCCTTATTTCTTTTTAGTCCCTGCAAATCAGAACAAATGTGAATTCGACAATCTGTATCAAGGACCCAAGAACAAGAATGTGATGAGTTATTAGATATAATAGTATAAATACCTGCATGGGTGGCCTTAACCTTGCCATATTTGACATCCTACAAGTATTTGGGGTAGCTTCGCTTCCAGTGCCCTTTATCATGACAGTAGAAACACTCTGCTTCCTTAGGAATGGAAGAGGGAGCAGCAGAACCAGCCTTGGTCCCACTTGAAGAGGATCCATCAAGAGACTTTCCCTTGCGACTCTTAGAGGGAGCCTTCCTCTTCTTCCCCTTCCCTTGTCCAATTGCCAGAATAGGGGCGGTGGTAGGAGTAGTAACAACCGATTTACCTTTGAGACTACTTTCAGCAGTTCCCAAAAGCCCTTGAAGTTTGCTAAGTGTGACCTCCTCCTTGTTCATATGATAGGTCATGCAGAACTGATCATAACATGGAGGTAAGGAGTGTAGAATGATATCTATAGCCAACTCCTCATCAAAGTTCACATTCAATTTCAGCAAACGGTCCACAAACCTTTGCATTTTCTACAAGTGGGTCGTGATGGGTTCACCATCCTTCATCTTAGTTGTTATCATGGAAGAGATGATTTCATACCTCTCTTGACGAGCACTCTGATGGTATCTTTCCATCAGGTCCTCGTGCATCTCAAAATGGTAGAAGTCCTCATAGGTCTTTTGGAGTTCAATTGTCATGGTGGCCAACATTATACAATACACCTTGGTGGCATCCTTCTCATGAGTCCTAAACTCAGCGATCTCCTCAGAAGTAGCAGAAGACTCATCGATTTCCTTAAGCTCCTTGTCTAGGACATATTCGTTGTCCTCATAGTGAGTGACCATCCTAATGTTCCTAATCCAATCATTAAAACTAGTTCCATAAAAGATGACTCTCCTGCACAAGTTTATGAGAGAGAATGACCTAGCAGGGTTTGAGCCAGAAGCAGTGTTGGAAAACATCTGAAAAGAAAGAAATACAAAGTTTAGATTAGATAAGAGTCCTTAATTGTAACATCCCAAATTTCAAGCCCAAAAATTTCATTTTTAATTAAGTAATTCACAACATAGTTTACCAAAACATTTCCCATGCCATGTCATTTGTAAAAAGAAACTTAACAATGTGTCTAAAAATCATATCGTCAAAAGTAAAATAAATCAGAGTACATTCCCAGAAAACTCCATGCGGAAACCATGTGTGTGTGTGATGCGCTGCTACGCCGCCGACTCCTTCCCCTTAGACGAATAGGTACCTAAAACCAAAACTAAAACTGTAAGCACAAAGCTTAGTGAGTTCCCCCATCATACCACATACCATACAATCACATGGCATACATACTTTCAGGCAATTCTGGGGCGCCCGTCCTACCCATGTAAAGCCATTCTGGGGTGCTGACCTACCCATGTCAAGCCATTCTGGGGTGCTGACCAACTCATGTCGAGCCATTCTGGGTGCTGACCTACCTTTCGGTCGTTCAACCGAACACGAGGACTATTTCACCCCTACTGCTAACACATAATATCATATCTCAATCATACTGTCAGACATATCTG